ACACACACACACACACACACACACACACACACACACACACACACACATTGATAGAAACTGGGGTGCATCATCAGGTTTTGACAAAACTAATTAACTAATGGCCAGTTTATGTAAATTCATTCTACAGAAACAACATAATTTCAACAACCATTTGCCCCCAAAGTCAGCTTGTTTATTGCTTTTTTTTTCACTTTCCTAATCACGTAAACCGTCGGCTTCTCAACTTAAAAATGTCTCTAAAAGCCGATGAAAGCTTTCACATTGATTCCTCTGTAAGGTGTCTGCTTGTTTCTAGTTTTCGTGTATTTTTTGGTAGGGAGTGACTTCCTGTTTGAGTTGTAACTGTCGTATTTCTTGAAACTTTGGGGGCAGTTTTGCTCTCAGGAGTCGTGTTTTAATGCCGACATGGATACACGTGCAAAAAGGGTTTTCACATGCGTGCCTACATATCATTGCACCTCTTTGAAAGACTTGTGACAAATCACTGGTGTCTCCTCTTCGCCAAACCTTCCTGTCATCACCTTCCCTGCCAAATGTTTTCACATTCCCCCCTCGAGTCCTCGTTTATGTAAACCCCATTTACACATACTGGGACTTCGCTGTGGTACTTTGTGTGTTTGGACGATAGCTGAAGCAATAAATAAATAAAAAGCACGACAAATTTAAACTATGCATACCAAAAGAGAGAATCGTTCTTTTCAAATCATGTTCCACACAGTTATTTTATAGCACTTAACATTTATGTTTAACAAGTTTAAACTGAATTTATTCTGATTTAATACTTTGGTTACAAGACTTCTGAAATCTGAGTGTTATCTAGATCTGCCCACTGTTCACAATGGGCTGGAAACCCCTCTTATCTGTGTCTGTCTTGGTCTAATTCTCTTCATTTTGTAAGCATACTTTTTCTAACTCTGTTCCTTTCTGTTGCAAACATGAACGCTTGGAGGTCAAAGCATAATCCTGGCTTTATTTGTAATTAGTCTCAGCTCTCTGGAACAGGTTGAACCCCAGAGTTATAAGCACAGTGATGGAGTTAGACATAGTTTCTGGGGGGAAATGCGAAGGTGCTCAAATGGAGACCCGGATTTATTTTATAAGACTCAGCCAACAGAGCTGGGACTTTCTGAAATGGCATAGATACATTTTAAGAGACCCTGGAGAGATTTGATTGCTGTCCCTGTCCACCAAGACTGGTCAGAGTTTAAACACAGCCCTGTACATTCACATTCACACCCCACGCCACCCACACCTCTCCGGTCGGGGCCTGTGATTAGCATACAAATCTGTAAAGACCTAGTTATTCCATCTACCTCTTAGCCCTCCTCTGTGTCCCCAACACACATACCATGTGTCCACTGACACTATTCTAATGAGGTGACCACCAGTCCCTTGTTATAATTGCCTCAAACTCCTTTTAATTTCTTCTCAGGGTATTAATCATACACAGAGTTATTTAAAATCGCATAAATTAATCTTAGATTAAACAGAGCCTTCAAAGGCTTCAAACAATTAAAGTGTTAGGTAGAATTTCCCCTGGGTTTCAGCCGTTTCTGTCTGAAGGGGGCAGTTTCAGGTGATTATCCCACTTTGATGTGGCAGGACAGTGATTAATGAAACTTTTAAACGAGTCCTCCTCCAGTTGAAAGTCAGACGCCTTCACTGACCTGAACCGAGCTGTAGCTATTCACTGGGTATTCGTCGGTCTTCCATTACAGGTTTCATGCTTAATTCAAGTCGCAAGTGGTTTAATTACTAGATGATTATGTGTGTGTGTGAATGTGTGTGAGATAGAGACATTAGCATATATATATATATATATTCAGAGTCCATAGCTTTAGAGGTTAAACCCAATAAAATAATTTCTGGTCAGTCGGTTAGCCGTTTGGTTTTTTCCTGACCCCTCATGCTGTCTGCCTTCCTTTTTGTTATGTGGGTCACTAAACCCCAGAATTAGCAGGTGAAAAAGGACCAAACCGAGTCCACCGGAGCATCATAGATAGATAGATAGATAGATAGATAGATAGATAGATAGATAGATAGATAGATAGATAGATAGATA